CAGAAAGCATGAAGCACTTTGTCTTGAATGGCTTTGCAAAGAACTTCCCAGAAAGAGCATGGATGAAGGAAGGTGTGCTGTTTTAAGGATCTAGTAACATTCACTCTTTCTGCAACCAGAATCAAATTGCAGGAGGCGGCAAAACATGCTGGTTCCCAGGCTGGGGAATCCATAGCACACCTCCTTCCGGCAGTTGCCAGCAGATGGAGCAAAACCTGCTAGATTTCTGCACATTCCTGAATCCTCTCCATACTTCATGCAGGGAAAAAAAAATATCACAATTTCTATTTCAAGATTCAGTGGCTATTCCATGCAAAGCACACACAAGCCAAAGTGTGACATCCAGAAGCATGTCTTTATTGTTTAAAATTGCTGCAAGTGTGCAAAGCTATTGTGATATCCTTTAAAAACAAAAGCAAGTGTTCCTTTCTAATGAAATGTATACATTCATTCGTTAATGGAGATATTTGCTCCTTTTAAACATGATGTCCAAAGGCTACCATCTCAACATTTTCCAAGGATATGGCATAAATTTAGACCAGTATATTCAACACCTCACCCTACCATATCAGGACTCTTTCAGCACCTGCTTTGTATTTACAGGTTCACCTACATGCTCCCTGCTCTTCTCTGCAAAAAAGAAAAGAGACTTTTAAATGTTTTTTTAATTTCATTTTATTAATAAGAAAAAATGGCATGCGAACATCCTTCACCTGGGTGAACCACTTCCTGTCACATACCTATTGCACATGGAGAGGAGAAAGCAAAACACAAAACATATTATCTGCTGTTTGAGTTTCAGCAGGGATGGAGCAGCAAGATTGAAAAGAGTGGATGAATGTAATGTAATGCGTCACCATTGGGTCTTCTGCAATGTTACTACAGAAATGAAGCAGAGCATGGACAAAGTCCCACCTTCTCCACTGCCTGGCACCAGCCTGGTTACCTTTTTCTTCACCGTAAGCTCCTTAGTAAATGACCTTTTAGCACATGAATAACTTAATTCTATCGGAGGACATCTTGAGCCAAATGGATTCGTTCTTACGCTCTTCTTCAACTGCCCATGAAGATTTGGTGTTCCTGCATTTACCAAATCCCTTCTGTGCTGTTGGGAATCCCTGTTTTTCAAAAGAACACCAAGAAACCCAGTCCTTGCAGTACGGATCACCAAGCCTGATGAGAGTATCACTGGCCGTGCGGCGTATTTGACAAACAGGATGGCATTTGAAGCATAAGGAGCTTGTCGATATACTTGAAGCATCTCTACAGCTGCCTTATATCCAACAGGTTAATCCCCCATAAATCCGAAGGGAACAACGACCCACTTGATTCTCATTCCAGTGCTTCCTGACATCTTGAGGACAATTGCCTCAGCCACAGCCACCTGAATAGGGATCATTCTACATAGAAGTCTACACATTTGATAGGTAAAGATACAGACATTTAAGAAACAGGGCATCCTCTATCATTCTGCTTTCAAGTTAGAGTTAGTCTAAATTCCTATAATCTTTCCTTTAGATGGAGGAAGAGTATCAGCCCCAAAGAAGTGCCAGCGGCTCTTAGAGTAGGAGAGAAAGAGAGAAACTGCAAGGAGCGATTGCACACCCGGTTGCCAGGTCAGCATAAGCGAAAAGGGGAGAGATGGGTGAAGGAGGAATAGTGCAACACACCCACCCATTCAAACACATCCACTGTACAACAACTGAAACATTCTAAGTGAGATCACAATGGCAATTTAGTTTAGAAAAAGAACTCAAAGGCAATATGTTGTGCCCAGGTGAGGCAGAGAAATTCCCAAGCCACCATTTCTTCTCATACATGGCACCTACCCCATTTGTTCAACTCTATCCCAGACAAGCTTGATCTAAAACAGCTAAGTGTTCTGTTAAAACAAAATGCACTTTTCTTTTTGTAAATTAGTTTATGCAGAGTTCCTTGGCTAACAGTCCGCTTGTAACTCATTCAGCATGGACCGCTGAATTCCTATTCAACCAGACGTAAAAATCAGAGAATAAGATAACAAAAAAATTATTGTGACAATTATCCATTTTTGTCCCAGTCTGCAACAAATACAGACAACACGCTTGACTTCTAAAAATGAATTGGCTTCCCCGATCCTAAAATATGGCAGTCATTCACGTTATAAAATAACAGTTTTAGCAAAAACACAAAGCGGTCTGCAAGAAAATGGCATTACGGATGAGGAACCCAGGCCCTCCAGTTACTTCTGAAGCCCCGTTCATGGTATTCATCACCACTGGCTGAGGCTGCTGGCAGCTGTAATTAACAACATCTGGAAGTCTCCAGGTCCCTCCTTATGCTGAGCAGATAGCAACAGGGGAAGGGGAAATGTTGGGATAGGAATGTTGTGTTCCTTCTTAACCCAGAGGGTCACTCTCCAAAACTGCAGATGCCTTTGCAACAGTAGTTAGCTTTACCTAACTGAAATTAAAGAAACATCCATCATAACTATTTAAGACTGGCAGGAGAGAAAAAAAAATGGTGCAGAGCAGAGTTTTGTTCACAACGCACATGTCTTGTCCCTAAACTGTGATAACCAACACCAGCAGCACACATACAAGCCTCCCCACCAAAGCAACGGGGAAGGGAAGAGAGCTTGCTTTAAAAAAGTTGTCTTAAAATGGATTCACGCTTTTAACTATAAAAATACATCTGTATGAAAGGAGTACAAATCAATCCTTGCTTTATAGGACTGGACCATGGATTTGCCCCCGCTCCCCCCAAAAGGGGGGGGTTGCTTCTCATTAAAGAAAAAAAGCTATGAAAAATGCCATAGGTCACAGATATTAGGGACTTGGGACCAAAACTCAGGTCCTGCGAAACATCTTGAACCATCCATTCAAACCACAAAATCCTTGTGAAAGATGAGCACACACTGACGAACAAAGCTAGTCAAAAGGGCAAATGATTGGACAACAGCAGTTAGGAAGCACTCCTAATGGAACCAGCAGAAAAAATGTAGAAGCAGGTCAGGCACCCGCTGTTGGTTTCTTTCAGCCGCCTCCTTGCCAACCCCTTGCCTCCAAGGGCCAGTCAGCTAACAACAGCCTTCCTTGACCCTCCAAGGTCTTTCTTTGATGGAACGGACGTCCAGGATCTCAGAAGTCACTCAGAATGCTGATGTCTGCAAACTCTTTCCTGTACCGATGAGAATATAAGCCAAGGAGAAAAGCCCATTTGAGGGAAAGGATGCTCCAGATGCAGGACAGGTAGTAGCTCTGCGGATCCTTAAAGGCTGGGAAGAACAAGCAAATTGTAGCAACTTATTAAGAGGAAAAAGTAGCATAGGTCCAATGTTGATTATCCTGCCAACCAGGTTCACTACTTCCATCATCCACTCAGTAAAGTCAGAGGCCTCAATCTTCCACTGTTGCTGACTATTGGTCACAATGACTGGGGATTATGAGAGCTATCACTTAACAACATCTAGAGCACCAGAGGTTCTTCACTTGTCCTAGACCCTGCCATTAGATTTTAATTCCAGCAGTCTCAGGCAGGATGCCCAATAGTCGGAGACAAGCAACTGAGCAACCCCTGGAAAGCCTCTGTCCCTGGTGCAAAATTATGTCTTTACCAGCTGCCAGCCTGATGCTTCCAAGAACCCCACAGGTAGCAGATTGATTGACTGATTGATTTAGTAGACTTATATGCTGCTTCAACCATGACTTGACTCTATTATGATAGTATCAGACTTGGCAATTGCCACATCCAGTTGGTGAATGTATGGAGATCTATTTATTTCAACCAATTCTGGAACTTTAATGGGATCCCTAAATGCATCCCTTAGCAATGATCTCTGAAGGACTGCCATTGACTACAGCCAACTCACAGTATTCGTCCTTCAATGCATATTTTATTTCCTGGCCAATAACCCTAAAGTATATCCTTGTCTGCAGTTTCCCAATTAAAACAGCTTTGTGATGGTAGGGCTCTCTTTTTTAAACCAAGATCTGCATCTCATGGAACTGGCAGTCCCTAACAGCCATAGCAAAATAAAACCTTAAAATTGTTTTACCAAGTTACTGTCTCCAGGGGAAGACTTCCCCAAAAAGGATAGTGCTTATGGGGACTCTTCGGTGTGTGGAAACTAGAACTCCTAGAATTTTTACCTAGCCTGCTGTAGAGAAATGCATCTGGAAGCCCCCAGATTAGAGAAGGATGGCTTAGAGTGATGAAATATACTCATAAGGTTGTTTTTGGCAAATCTTATGAATTACAAGGCAGCATAAGGGAAGCCAATCTCCAAGCCATTTGAGGATCTACAGCTCAAAACTCTCCTCTGGACTCCCCTTTCAAGGGAGTCATATTCAAGCATTATTGTAGAGCCAAAAGGAATTAAGTCAGCATCCAGCCTTGATCTTGAGGAAGTGGATCTACAGGCACACAATGGCACCAGCAAACCCTTGAAAGACTGTAGGACTAGGATTCCAGTCACATATGAACCTTTGCACCTACACCTATTCTTGCAAAGCACCCTTCCATGCAGACGTACAGGTAGGAGGGGCTCCTTGACAAATGCAGTGCTGGAGTCCACAACGCTTCTTGATTTGCCATCATGGAGCAGAATTGCCAAGCTGATACACTGAAAACAGAAGGTCCTGGCTTCCATCTCTGGCACCTGCAGCTAAGAACATTTCAGGGAAGCTACACTGATGAAGAGCATCAGCCTGAGAAATGAGGAGCAACGGTTGCTTGCACAGGCTGCTATAGGCTAGACAGGCCAATAAGCTGGCTGAGGATTGGGCAGATAACTTCCTAGGTACACCATACAAGGCTGTCTTTTATCCCAGATAATTACTGCCCTCTGAAATGGAAGATCACCAGAACAAAGAACTGCTCATCCCTTGCACCGAAGCTCTGTCTGGTCCTTTGAATCTGCCAGCTATCATGGAGGCCACACTCATCTTTAGCAATAGTGCAGCACAAATGCACACACTTTTGAAACTTTAGGGATGCACGTTTCTAACTCAGGAGTGGGGAGCCAGATGCTGCTGGGTTACAATTCTGATCATCTCTGAACACGGGCCGTGTCAACTGGGATTGATGGAGCCCAATATTGTCCAGAGGGTCCCCATCTTTGCAGACTGGGCGTGGGGAAATGCCTGGTGGAATCTCTAAATGCAGAGGAGGGGGAAGAGGAGCAGGTTTCGTGGCTGTCATAAAATTCGGTCTCCCTCCTTTTTTTGGCTGCACAGAGTTTGCTCTGCTAGTGTCAGAGCCAGACTTCAGAACAGAACCAAATCATGGACTTACATTGATTCTTTATGATGGCCAGGGCCAGGAACGTGCAGAATCCCACCACGGAGAGTATGCCAAAGAAAATGCCAACACACAGGAAGAACCTCAGACCTTTCAACCAAGTCCTCCAGTAGTCCTGCATATACATCACATGTGTGATTAGGGCCCAGAGCGCCAAGACACCTGTTTGAACCAAGAGAGAAGGAGAATCAATAAAACGTGGGCATGCAAACTCCAAAGTTATCAGCAGCCTTAACCAGCAGGTTTCTACCATTTCCTTTAGGTCAGGGTGGCTTTTGGCACTCCAAAAAGTGGGACAAGAGAAACACACTACGTTGGATTGGTTTCAATTTAAAATAATTTCACACAATTCCATAGGCGGCTTACAACCTTCAAAAATGCCTGCTCCAAACAAAACCTGCCCACCTAAGATGTGCTGGGAGAAGGGGAAAGTCCCTGCCCCACAAGCAGCAGCAGAGGAAGAACTTGGAAGAGCTCTCAGAGATCCCCTACGGGATCAGTTCCCCCAAAGTAAGAACAGTGTTCTCCCTGCTAATGTTCAGAGAGCTCCTTCACGTGGGCCTTTGGGGTTTGAGTCGATGTGAAGTAGGTACCTAAAGTGGGTGCTGTTTTATTCTTGCTATGGCATTTTTTGGATATGCGGATGTATTGATATTTTTGCTGCTGATAAATGCTGTTGGGAGGTTAGCTTTTGTAAGTCAATTTAGGTGTGTGTCTTTTTAATCAAAGTGATTGTAAAAGCATAATAAACAAACCAATAAATAAAGCCCAGTGCACTTAAGAATGTTATAATTCTGTCACATTCCAAATTCTGTGTTGGTCGCAGTTTTTGGAGGTGCCCTGGGAAGAGCATCCAAGGCTTTTAAGAGTCATCTGCTCTCATTTGCACCTTTGCTCCAGGTTCTCAGCATCTTCAAATGTTTCTGCCATGTGCCACTTTAAAGTTAAAATGAAATCCTCTCCCATCCAATACACTCCTTGCCTATAGAAAGCCAACATGTCAGGAAGAAAGGTAGGCTAGGCAACTTTTCAGCACTACGATTAGGCTTGTTTTCTATGTCCAGGGAACTTTTCTGGACTATGGGGAAGCACTTCTGCACAAAAGCCGCATCTAATATAGCAAAGCTCTGACATCAGGGTTGTGCAGTGCGTCATATTCAATACCAAATAGGTGCCTCAAAGTATATGTATGCACGGGGTGGGGGTGGGGATCTCCAGCTCTTTAAGGCGGCTGTGTCTTTTCCCAGGATCATGGAACAGCTGCCTGGGTTGCCAACCTCTGTAACTGACCCAAGCTGGAGAAGATCTGGCATCCTTCAAAGGTGCCAAGCTACCACCCCTCTCATTCAGCATCGTTATTGGCCATGCTAGCTGGGTGAAAAGAGCAGAAGGCTATACATCTGGAGATGTCTGTGCTGGGAGCCCAGGGCATCGTGGCATGAGGAGTCTTAAACACAGTGTTGTTGTAGTTTAACTTTGGGTAAACATAGTTTCAGATTTCACGGACCCAAACAATCAGGCAAAGGATAAGACATCAGATTTGCCCTCTTGTGGTAAAAACGTTTGCTACAAGCAACTGGCAGCAGCTGAAACAGGGAGCAGCGGAGAATTGGAGAGTAAATGTAACACTTTGGGGGTAGCTCCTGAGGGGGTCTCAGCAGGTAGCAAGGCTGACTGATTCTGTCTGGATGCAAAAGCTAAGCAGGACCAGATTGGGTTAGTTCTTAGATGGGAAACCAATACGGAATTCCAGGGCTAGGACAGAGAAGTTGGGGAAAAAACTGGGGAAGAACACAATGGCAAACTCTTCTATTCTATTCTGTTGCCAAGAAAATTGCCTGACTGGATGAAGTCATCACAAACTGACCTTGACTTGAAAATGTTATTTTTTTAATCTGGAGGAACAAACAGTTCAGGTAAAAGTGCCTCTGCTTTGGAGAGGGAGAGCAAGTCAGAGGGCAGAAGCCACACAAAACAGAGGCTACTCTGCAAAATGAGGTGCTCTGGATCCTCCAAAGCAAGGGGAAGCAGATATGCCAGTAAGAAAAGCAGGGCTGGATCACACCAAAATGCCAGATACCAAGAGAATGCCGCTAGAGGATAGGCGTGCAGTGGCATCCATGCATTTATGCTCTCCAAGGAGTGATACTGGAGGCCCTGGGAATCACTGACAGCTTGGCTGGCAGCATCTGGAACAAAAAAATAGAGGTTCAGGAAAAGGGCATTTTTTTCCTCCCTCTCCCAAAACAATGTTTGGGATCATCAGGGTTCTTTTGTACGTATGAAGCTAACCTGTGGTGCTGGTGGGGGAAAAGTTGCACGGATTGGTCCATGTCTGTCACCAGAGTTGAGCCCAACTTGGGGGCCTCTTTACTTTTATCACCACTTTAAGAAGTCAGCGGCAGCTGTTCTAGGACTGTACTAGTGGGAATGCATCAAGATCTCTGAGAAGGTGTCAGAGTATGGGAACGGATAAGAACAAAACTAATAAGGAGAGGGTGCTGTTTATTGCTACACCCACTTAGTGCAAGTCTGTTTGCAAGAATTCTCATGAATTCTTTTAAAGAATTCCAATTCAACCCCTGAATTTGTTTAAGTGCATCTATCTATCTATCTATCTATCTATCTATCTATCTATCTATCTATCTATCTATCTATCTAGAGTGAGCATGTGTAAATGTTTCACTCCAGATCTGCCAGATGAGGAGAGGTAGGGCATCCTGCAGGTTCTGTAGCAGAATCCAGCTCCATTATTACCAGTTGTTGGCAAGGGGCTACCTTCTTTTCTTTTAATTTTAGTATATATTTAAAAACACAATCAAGAGGGAAAAAAATGAAAAAAAAAACCATAAAAAACAGAAAAAAAAAGATTGGCAAGTCATATAAAACTGAATAAAAAAATTAATGTTAGATTAGTACTGCATATTAAGGTATCATACGTCAATTGAAGACTTCAAAATCATTACTCAAATCAAGTCAATATTCAGTAATTAACAAAAGTGACCCATATAAAGTATATGAACCCTAAGCCAGAATGAACAAAATTTCTAATTTAAAAAATTCTAGGGATACTTTTTTCTGGACTCAGCCTGCAGCATATTCCAACTCAACCCCTGAATTATAGAAACAATACGGAGGGTTTTAAGTTTAGCTACTACTTTAAGTGGGAAAAGTTGTCTTGGGTACCAACAAGAGCTTCCTCCTCATTTAAAAAAGCAGTTTATTGATGGGAATTTGGAGTTGGGGTTTTTTGTTACTGAAGCCACAGCATGGGAGAAAATATATGTTTTCTCCATATTCAATCCCAGTGAACTCATACAATATGCATAGCTCTTGGAAATCCCCTTTTTTTCTCAGCTTTATTGTCTCTATTTTCCCCAACTTAAAGCTCCCCAGAAATAGCTGAGAATTCTGAGAGTCATAGGCCCCAAATGTCCGGAGGGCACCAGGTTGGCAGAAGAAGCCCCATCAGCAAAACTGGAACAGAAGGACCCACCGGTTGACTACAATAAATGAGACTAATGGTTATAGCTAGTGTAGAAAGCAGGTGAGCAAGTCTAGGAAACTCTAAAATGGATGAGCACTAAAAAAACAAAATACGAAATTATGGACTTCTGCAAGTTTCCTTAGGGGGGAAAAGTAAACCGCAAAGCGTTTTTCAAAGCTCAGCTAAGAAGGAAACTTCCCCTTTTTCAGAAGCTGACATAAAGACAAACCAGCTTCTGGTTGATATTAGTGATGAAAAATGCCAAGTCACATTTTTACTCTTTCCCTATTTTTCTGAGCAAGAAGGGGTCAGACGCAGTCTTTTCCTCACATGTTCAAAAACTGAGTCAGCCCTTGAGGCAGTCAACTGCCTTGCGATGAGGGACTCCTGACACTGCATCGAAAACACCCTTGTGACTCAGCAAAACAGTCCTTGGAAAGGAATGAGTTGGCAAAAATGGTCAAGAAAACAAGAACTTTTCAAAACCCCAGTCACAATGTCTACATTTGCTTCTGCAGCCTCTGCATTCAAACGCGCTCTCTGATCAACTAGGCGAAGGGCCTGCATTTTGAAAAAAAAATGTAGCCTATGCAATCTGTACAAGTATACTTATCTCCAAAGTTTTCTTCCCAATAGTGGAAAGTAATGATACTAAAATATTGGATTGCAAAACATTCCCATATATTTAATGTGGTTTAAAATGTATATATATAAAAAAATAAAGCGTTACTGGGAAAATAGTTTATTGGATTACCGATCAGTATCTAAAACTTGATCATCGAATAGCACGCAGCTCCTTTGAACGGCTTCAGTTTTAAAAGAAAAAAAAATCCTAGAGGCACTCTAAGTTGTGATTGGGCTAATTTTTACTATGCTTCCAAATAAATATGTGTGCATCTTCCAGGAATAGTCAGATGAAAACAGTTAATTAGAAGCTATAAAGAAGCTTAGTTCGGCTAATACTGCATTTTACGCATGCCCTTATAATTTATTATTTACCAGTTCTAGAAACCAAAACAACCCAAAATATAGCAGCAAAGATTTTTACTTACAGCAAAAGTGGTATCTTGTGTGGTTAGCTAATTATAAAGGTCACCCCATTTGCTTAAATCAAGTGCTCATCAAAACTAAGTAATATGAATAGACCCGTCTTCCACATTTCCAAGGAAAAAAGAAAGCCGGCATGGTCATTAAATACACAGGATAAACTATCAGAGATTGCTTATGCATAGGGCCTGGTTACTTGAGGGACCACATGTCACCCATGACATCTGCTGGGTGATTCGATCCTGCAGGGTTGGTGCACTCCTCTCAGGATCCCGGAAGTTTGCCTTCTCTGTATCAGCACCTGCCCTCTGGAACAAGGTTCCCCCTGAGTGTCAGCCCTTCGAGATAGCCCAGACTAGGAAACTAAAGTTATGAATACTAAAACTACTTTTATTATAGGGTTACAGAATTTTCCAGGTCTGAAAGTGCCTCCTTCCCCCCTACCTGCCTTTACCTACAAGAGAACCAAGGAGGGTCAAGTCTGAGATGTTTTCTCAAATTACATTTCTGCTTTGGACTCAGATTTCTCTTATCTGACCACTGCTTTGGTCCTGTTCCTTAAGGTTATTCTCACAGCTGAGATCCAGATGGTGCCCACTCTGCTGCTGTTTAGAAGAGCTATGAAGAC